CGCGCGCCCGGCGCTGCCGCCGCCAGGCGGCGCTGAGCGCTCCGCGGCCCGGAGCGGTGAGGGCCGGCCGGGCCCGCAGAGGCGCGGCGTGCGCTGGCTCACCCCCCGTATCTCTGTGCTGCCGGGCTCCCCAAGTACTTCATCATTTTAATCGATTTGTCTTCAAAACCAATACATGAATGACACATGTCTCTAACTACAAAATCTCAGCCTGTGCTGTCACAGTGAAGGTACAAAAACGTTTAAAAAAATACACACCACATGATGAAGAAAGAGACCCAGAGGCAAGACTGAGCAAGACTGCTTGTCAGGTTTCCAGAATCCTTCCTCCTCTTGGCTTCATGGTTTGTTTCCAGTCACCTTAAGACTCAGGGGAAAAAAGAAATTGAACACTCAGTTCCACAGTGAGAAAGAATGTCCCTTTACATGACATAACTTGGTATGGCTGTATTTACATGTTAGTCATTCCAAATATTGACACTTTGAGGTCACCAATTGGAGACAGAGAAGATGGAAAACGAGGCAGGCAGAATGCAGCCTGGTGTTCTGTTCCTAAGATTACATTGCAAGTATTCCTTCACCCCAGGTAATCTCTTTGGAAAAAGGTAGATACAACTGCAGAACTGAAAGAGGATTTCAGCTAAACATGTGGATGGATTCTCCCCTTCCTTACAGCTACAATTGCCATGTCAGTTTTGGTCACCGTCGTGTAAGGAAGGAGCAGCCCATGTTTTGAGTACACACCAATTCAAGTCAGGAATCTTTTGCTGCATCTTTTGCTTATCTTAGATGTACCCAGACATGCCTGTTATGTCCGGCATGAGGACTAGCTGTCACGGAACAACCAGCAAATTGTTGAATAATTTGGTTTATGTAGCTGTCTGCCTTTTGAAAAGACAGTGGACATTAGCAGAAGCTGCATTAATCCCTCTTATGAGATAACTCCACCGTGACTCTGAGAATGGGATAGCTGGAACTGCTCTAAGACACACCAAGGAGAAGCTAATGTTGTAAACAAATTAATTCCAATGTTCAGAAATACTCCTTTTAAATTTACTAATATAAACATAGACTCAAAGTGCAATGAAGACATTAGCTGAGATGTGAGGTAGATGAAGAGTTTGTTGTCTTTTTCTGCATTCAAACTCTGAGGCAAGGGTCTATTCTGATTTGTTTACATTGAATTATACAAGGATATATAATACCTCCCATGAATTCAGTAGAGCTAAATTGAAATTCCCACAGATAGGTTTAGGATGATAATTTAATATTCCAACAGGTTATATTTTATCAAGTATATTTTCTTAGGGCTCCATCTAAGCTAGCCATCTAGATGCTAACTGCCTATATGCTACCAAGCTCCTGCTCTGCATAAATATTGTCAAAACTACAATCCCCAAGCCTTCTATCCACTCTCAGTTTGACTCCTGAGGCTTCTAAAGTGAATAGGTGCACTGTTTGCCATGGCTGCTCACAGGTTCTTGGACTTCTTCCCTGGATGCCGGGAAGCGCCTGACTCTTGTCGACACTAAACAGCCAGGATGGTGAAGAAAGCATTCTTCCAGGAATTACAAGATGTAAGTTTTAATCCCTGCAGGCAGAGATGAAAGATGAACACACCTTCCCTGCCAGGACAAAAACCTGCTTGCTTTCCTTGCTGCTCCACAAGAAGGTGGAGAGGGATGTACAAAACTCAGTCTCAAAAAGCAACATGTACCTGAGAGAGCAGATCTCTAGAGTAAATGCTGTGCAATTCGTTTTTTTGGCTTGTCCTGGTGGAGTGGTTTTCATTTAAAAGTGATGGGATGTTTTTCGTCTTATTTTTACAGGACATCAAGTTAGTTAACTCTTCCACAGTCAAAATCTGTGTGTAGCTTTATCTACAACTTTATTAAAAATGAGCTGTTTTTAAACTAAACACTGTGATACTTGGAGTAAGGACCTCATGGAGTAAACATACACCAATGAGATCAAATGCAGCATTTGGTGGATGGTTTTAGCCAGTGTATTCTTCCCTGTTCCCTTGATTATGAAACAAAGGCACTACATTTGGGCTTCAGAACAAATGCCAGGCACGATTTCTAGTTTTGTTAAATAACACACATTAGTCACTGTTTTTACTAATTCCATTCTAGTATTCCATTGTAGTACACCATGCTAAGACAGAAAAGGAAAGATATCTTGACTTCCTTTACTTACATGGTGTATATAAAAACAGGAAAATGTGTTCTCTTTGGTTCTGTTGTCTAAGACTGGTGAAATTTTCATGCTAAGAGCCCTACAGTTTTAAGCGTGCTCTTGTTTCAGCTGATTATAACAGACATAAGGGTTCCTATCTATATTTAATAAAAGCAAGTGCAACATTTTCTGAAGTGATTGCAGAGCAGAGCTGATTGTCTAAATCAGGCTCATAACCAATACATGAACTGAGTGTATGCTTAGAAGAAAACTCCAATGGACATTTATATGACTAGGCTAAAGAAATGCTTCTTGCATTGCTCTTCATTGACCTCAGAACCTCAAAAAATATTTTGAAATTAATTTTTTTCTCTTAAACATCACATCAACTTACAAAACTCTTGGTTTAAAATCCAGACTTTTCACTCCTTACAATAGAAAAGCAGTATTTAATCTTCAGGTTACGCACCAATCCCAGCAGAGGTTAGTATTATGGGATGAGATGCGGCTGGTAATTCTGCTGGGTTGAGTGGGTAGCAGTTGGTTGACATGGCAGTTCAACTCACAAAATGTTGACCACACACATGGAATCTGCATGTGTGATAGTTACTTTTAAAATCGGTATAGAAAAATGCATACACTGCATCCAACAGATGATACTTCCCAAAATCTCTGTTCCAAGTTAATGAAAATGCAGAATGTTTTCAATATAATGTATTGTACATAAGTATAAAATAATATTTATGCACCTGGCTCAGTCATCTCTGTGAGCCTCCAAGTCTCAGAGGCAATGCCCAATGACATCTGCTGGGGAGAATAAAGATGAGGTAGTAAGAATTCCTACAGCACTGAAATCAGCCAGAGAACATATATAACTAGAACAAGAACTTCAACAGATGTTAGGGGTATTAAAGCCAATTGAGCATTTTAAGGGCTTTCCCCACTTCCTACCTGATGCAAATGCCAACAAGATTAAAATCCCATTAATCATCACTGCAACCAAAACTGAAGAACTTTGATACAGTTCCCAAATGTTTCATCAGAACTGCAGCCAGGGCCAGCTTTACGTTTGGTAGTAAGTTAAAAAAAGAAACCACAACAAAAATCTCCAACCAGATTTTTGGCTAGAACTTTTCTCTGCCTGTAAATTCAAGGCTAAAGACAGCTCTGAGCTGACGAATGCATCAGTTATTGAGACAATTTTAAAGTTATGTTCAATCAGCTTTGCAGTGCTGCAGCAGGGCAACAGTGCTGCACCAAAACAAAGCTCTTCTGGGAATCCTACTGAACCAGCAGGAGGAAATTTAAGTCTAGAGAGCAT